ATTGGGCTAGTATTCCAAAGGTCGTAGGTTCGAATCCCACCGTGGCCGGGCATATTTTTCAAGCTCGCCCGGTGTGGATATGCACTCAGAGTAACACCACAAATATCATATTCACCTGAGTACACTACACCAACACAGAAAAAAATTATATTACTAGAATACATTGGTATTGAAGGAACTAGATTCTGTTCCGAAATATCACTTACTCAAACCGGGCATATTTTTCAAGCTAGCGCTCGCCCGGTGTGGATATGCACTCAGAGAAATCACCACAAATATAATATTTAACTGATTGAAAACTGTTGGAGACGAATGTCTCTACGCAATTTTTGACGGCCGAGCAATTTGAATTTTTCTATATGACAATTACTAATAAGTTCTAAATAAGTTCTTGTTCGATTAAAATCCCCACTCGCTTCTGCAGGGCAAACGAATGCGTTATTTAACATGAACGCAACAATTTTTTCATTCCTTGGCGTTCTGCCATATTGGACAACATATCATTTCTTCGGTTTCTACGGTTTTTGGTGACAAGGTCAACATTCAAGTTGACAAAAAGTTTGGCCAAGAAACTAGGTATGAGTAAGACATGTAAACAATAGTTCACAATAGTGTGCGGCATATCCGCATTTCCACTCGGTCATCGGCGTATAAAATTAGACTCTGGGTTAGACGACCAAAGCGATAGATCTTCTGAAAAACCGCTAATTATCGTCGTTGTCGTTGAGCAGTTATCCCTGGCAAATCCATGTTAACACAAATAGATCATTTGTTCGTAGTACTTCTGTTTCTCGTCAGAGCGTGCAAATATATAGCATTATCAACACACAAACACGCGCACTAGAAACTACTTCAAGCTTTTTTGCACTTCCTGTTATGTTTCGCCATTGCCCATCAGGGTCACGCGGTACTCAGCACGGGGAAATGAAATATTAGAGAGCTTAAGCAAGTGACGTTTTTGTCAACACGGACATCGGATTGCCAAGCGGGGACTGGATTAAAAATTTTGTTTGTGTCAGTTTGTGGTAATCTTCAACACTTACGACAAAACATAAGATTTTAAAGTTTTTGCTTTCTTACACGAGCGCTATGATACGAATGCCGCCAAAAGTAGTTATACCAATTTTTGGGTGACGTCCATGTTCACAAAAACGTCGCTTGCTTAAGTTCACTGTTATTTCACAATTAAATATAATCGTTTCTTAACAATAATTTTTTTAAAACTATTTTTGCAGTGTGTCGGCTGATGGTAACAGAAATTCAAAGGAAATTAAAGATATTTGGAAAAGTGAAAACTATCACAAAAGAAGGTCGTCCTGAGTACTACAAAGAGTTAGTATTACATAAATGTGTAACTTTTAACTATATCAGTGAACTATATGGATGAACGACATTACATACTAGATACCTATGAAATTCAAGTATTATAAAATTTACAGTCATGCTGCATTATTTATTACATATTCAGTTCTTTTCGGCCTGGAAGACAATGAAACGTTTGTACATTTACAGTAATCGCATCTAATTTTCTCCCAAATCGAAAATTTGATCGATTCTTCATGGCCGATGGAAACCGTTCCGGATGGACGTTCTGTTCGGCTCATCTCGGGCGCTTCTTCAATAGTGTACATGCGTTGCGGTCTCAATGTTGAAAATATTAAGATATTTAAATATTTGTCTAAAAATTACATTTCAGCGACATGGTGATTTGGCACGTATTTGATGAACTTTGTGATGAAATGAAGAAGTACAATATTGACAAAAAAACACCATTTCGATATCGTAGAGGAGGTAGGACGCTGAAGTGTTTTAGAATGAAGAATATCTGCATGCAATAATTGGTTTAGTCAAATCACTGAAAACAATGAATGCACGGAAGAATCTGGAAAAAAGAATGCCAGCCCGATCGGAACCGGAACTGAGTTTATTTAGGGGTTTATGATTATATATGTTAGTTTGTCGACAGCCAACCTTAGAAAGTAATTATATGTCTATGGTGGTACTGTATGTCTATGCAATTTTAATAATGCGATCAATTAAAATATTTGGGCGATATTCGTCTGCAGTAAATCAATAAAATTTATATTCTCTTTCCTAATGAAGATAGAATTACGGTTCCGGTCACGTTTTTTCTTTTTCATCTGTTTCAGTCGGAACCATAAGATATTAGAGTTCCGTTGCCAAGCCCTACTTAAGCCATTGCAATCGAGACAGTGCGGGTGCTTAGCCTAACCCGCTTGCACTTTGGCGAGTGAGTTGCTCCGCAATTATAACTTCCTTCGGCAAAACGAACACTGTTCACTGTTCAGCATGAAGTCAAGCTCTGAAACCAGCTTAGGAATTCAGATAAAAACTAAATTGTTTTCCTGCCATGACTCTTATATGATATAGTGAAAAGTTACTTGCGAAGACAAGCCGTTGAAATGACAGCGCATTCGCCAAATGTTCATTGGGTTTGGAACGTAGAAGCTGTAGATATTGATGATCCCACCGGAGAAATACGAAGACTCAAAAAACAGGTTAAAAAGTCTTGTTATTAATTCGTAGGCATCTTTCAAAAAATTAGAAGGCACTCAATAGCCGCCACCAAAAATTAAATATTTACCACAGATTATAAATAAAATTTCAGTTCATTCTTTTCTGTATGGGACATCACCAAACCATGGGAACGGGTTTTGTGATTGGTTGATTGTAAAAATGACAATAAAATAAAAAAGGAAAATTCTAAAGAACGAGTCACATGTCTTGGTAAAAACTGTTAGTCAAAGCCTCTCAAAGAATAGGTAGCTTAAAAACATATACTCGGATCGACCTGACTCTACATGGTGTATAAAAGAAAAACTGCACAGTTCGAAATTGTCCGCTACATTAAACTGCAAGTTCCCCCAAATTTGTGAAAATTTTATGCAAGCAAGGGTAGTTTAGGGTCTGCTTATTTCGAAAAGTAAATGTTCGACTGCGGGATGGTTGTTTTCAAAACTGGTTTGCGCAAAAAAATGGAAGGCTTAAAACGCAATCTGAATTCAAATTGGGAAGGTGTTATATGGATTATCAAAGTATCAGCCAATTTCATATTTCTGCCATAGTATATATAGCCTTTCACGCATACTTTTTTAACTTTTTGTAAAGAGCATGTAAGAAATCAATCATGCATAAACCAAATCATGCAAAAAATCGGTCATGCGTGTTGCAAATTGTGCGTGAAATGCTACTACGGCAAAAATGTCCAAGTTTTGTTGTCTGGTACTTTGAAAGTTTATAGCTAAAACACCCTCCACATTTGCACCCTACAATTCAAATTGCGTTTTAAGCCTTCCATTTTTGTGCGCAAGCCACTTTTGAAGTGGTTGTTAACGGACATTTTCGAACTCTGCAGTTTTTAGATACATTCTGCATGTAGCCAATTTTTCCAACATTTCTTCTTAGTTTATTGGTAATACAGTAAATTTAGGAATCTCGAGTCAGCTATGTGCAAGCTAATTTCAATACAACAATAACTTGTCTCTTTATGACGATACGAAAATTTGTGACATGAGCAGACTTTGACTGCACATTTGTGCATTTTGTCATTCACGTAGTGCTACACAATGTTGGTTACTTACCAAGACGATATTCGAAGATGGTTCTACACATCTCAAAATAGTAATCCTCTAAAGTGGATTTGTGCTAATAAAGTATTGACACGGCGAGATTCACAAGGTAAGCAATAATACGAGGGGTTTCTATGATGTTCTCATCGCCACTATGTTAATTGAACAATATTATTTATGACGTTCCGGCGTTGCGTGAGTCACGTGAGGGATCCTCTAAGCGAACGAAGCACTTGAGGCATCGTTGAGAGGTAATATGCTGTTTTGGTCATACATTTTCCCTCAGTAAAATACTATTGTTTAGTAAAATAAATCAATTCTTCTTGAATAATTGCTTAACTATTTAGATTTATGTTATCTGAAGCACTCATGCATATATATCACATAAAATGTCTTGTCATGCATAATCATGCAGTCGTGTTTATACCTCCATGCACATTCAGATACAATAAAGAGACGGTAAAGGTATAAGAGTGGCTGTTGGAAAAATAGCTACATCTAAATACTTCTTAAATTGTTATTTTGATTTTTTTTATATAAAAAACACCCACAAATTGAAAGTAAGTGGTTGTATATACCTCACACAACATGGACACAAATGCGATATATATAGAGCTTGCGATTCGCCTTGATAAAAACGTCGCATTTTTTATTATTAATCATGAATACATAAATGAAATAAATCCAGCCTACGGTATTGGCAGATACACAACCTTGGCCTAATTCTCGATATCAGGATTTTTGGGCATCTACATCTGATATAACTATAATTTGTAGAAGAATTTTGTAGATGCATGGAAATTGCAAATGTAACAAAAGTACCCTTCTCCAAATTTGTTATATCGGTGTAGATGCCCAAAATTCCTGATATTTATCAATACACCTTACATGTACATTGGCCTTAATTACATACATGAACTTGTGGTTAGAGCTTGACGATTGGCCTTTCACCTTTGTAGCTCAGTTGGTTAGATCGCTGCACAGTGAATAGTTGCATTTTTCGTAACCGCTCCTGGTTAGGTATAATAAATATATAAATTTCACAGTCGCAAATTCCATCTGCTAATTCTCGATATCGTACTCAATCTCATCCAATAATTATACATTGCTGATTTCTAGTTGGTATTTTTGCGCAATTCTTCACTGATATCAACACTTATTTGTGATGATTATTTAAGGTTGTTTATGGATTAAAGACAAATATATGGAAGAACTTGTGAAACATGACGAAACTACGGCGAGAGAAGAAACAAGTGAGTCAAGCCACAAAGAAAAACATTACGAATTGTAGATTGTATAGCGCTGTGGCAAGACAATATGTAATGAAATAAAATAACTAACTAGAGAGTGTGCAACTGAGAACAACAAAAGGTATCCAATTTCGCTATGGCTTCGCCCGTTAAACATTAAGTTTACATATTTACTTTTTACCAGGAATAAAGATTAGAAATTTAGCTATCGAAATAATTTCCTTCTATAGTATCATTGCGATCAAAATAACCAAATACAAAATCACGGTTTTGCACCTGACGAAAATCACGAAATCACGGTTTTGCACGAAATCACTGTTTTGCACCTCTCTGCAGAAAATGTCCTTCGAAATTTCTAGCGTTTGCCCAAATGAAGGTTTCCTAGCTAGACTAACATTTCCAACAATGTTTTAACACCAAACTTCTTTGTTGGACCGCGATTTGAAACAACAAGGGCGTTCTTCAAAAATAAACTCTTAAATTGGCGCGACGTGTTTATAATTCCTATACTTATAGATTTGGAAATTCTGTGTGAGAATTTTTTCAATAATGAATTGCATTTTGTTAGCCTGCGAGCAGGCTCTCAAGGTCAAATGAGAACCTACACTGGTGGCATATAATTTTGAATATCTGCTGAACCACATGTCCATGTTGAAACAATGCTCATTCAATGCAAGATCGATGGTGAATAAGATTGATGAGTTTTGTAGAACTATAATCATTAATATGCCTGATAAGTGATATTGTAGTTATTATTGAATCTTGATTGACTTCTTGCGTGACGGTTCTCATCAGTATTCCACAGTATACAACATTTAGGAAAGACCGAGTAAATGAACAGCACGGGGGTGGATTATGTACGCACATTAATTCGCACCTTGAATTAATTGATACAGTAGAGATGTGCCACCACTTCTAACCATCGTAGCTCAAATATTGGTGGGGGAGTTGGTCTTTATTTGCACAACTGACAATCCGGTCACACTACATAACGATACGAAATATGATAACTTGTGTCCGCCCGCTGATTGGTCAAAAATTTATCGTTATCGTCCGACTGAAAAAAAGGTCACTCAGGTGAGCGATTTTAAAATCGTTCTCGTCAAACGATAAGTTTATCATTTTCGTTGTGGTGCGGATAGCAACATAAATTTTTTCACCAATCATCGCGTGTTTACAAGTTATCGTATCGTTATCGTCGTGTAGTGTGACCGGGTATTAATCGTTATCGTCAACGAAAATTTTATCTTCTCAGTTGTAGTGCGGACGCCAACATAATTTTTTCGACCAATCATCGTGTGTTCACAAGTTATCGCTAGTAGTAATTTATATAAGATGGAAATCACGAGAGCATCTAAGTTAATGCACAATACACTGCAACTCTATCTGACAATTTTTAATTCAATCTAACTAATTTTAATGCAATCATTATGAATTAGACTCTCATTACTATTTTACTGAATAATACTGATGCATGCAGCTATTAGGTATGAGTGTTGGTAATGCTGTTATTAATACATTATATATTCATGCTATAAGAATAGTGTTAGTTTTGGTGCTGTTTTTATTTATACTATAAATATTAGTATAACTATAAGTACTGTTATTATATATGCTGTATATATTCATGTCGGTGCTGTGATTATTCATGCCATTAACTCGTATTACTATAATTATCAGTACTGTTATTACTCCTTGTTATTACTCATGCTAGTTATAAGTATTAAGTGCAGTTAGTATTCATTAAGCATTATTTAGTGTCAGTGCGGTTGTTATGGAGATGCTGTACCCTCATCTATCCAAGGTCGTGAGCGCACAAGGATTCTGAAGTGATCATAGGCGAGCGTCAAGTTCCCACCGACAATGATACCATGTGCGCTGTTATATTCTTCTTTCCCTGCAACACGTATACCGACGCCAATACCTTGAACTTCAGATAAATTGCAGCCTATAAAAGAATAAAAGAACGTATAAATAACTGCAGTGATAAATTTCCACGGGATCACGATGCAGCCACGTGAATTGTATTATCAAAGAAACAAATTAATATTATTGTCAGTGTTATAGCTACAACAAGAAACAAATCAATAAATTATTATAATATATAATTCTTGTGGGCATGTACAAAATCGTGACTTTAACAGTGCTGACTAAACCTTAGAAAAGGTTCCGCGTTTTGTAACGTACGTTACATTAAGCCAATTTTATTAAAAATTCGAGTAAAATTTGACTGTAAGCAAATAATTTTCTGTATAGGCAGACAGTTTTCTACTTTTTGTAGATGTTGGCAAAATATGCAATGTCTCACAATATATCTTTTTTACCAACGATTGCTTCACTCTCGCACATGGCTCCGTTTCAGCATGGATTATAAAATAACTAGATAGGAAACTTCTGACGTCACTGGCCGCAACCTTGTTGAAAAACGTGACGTCACGCGTATTGCGAATATTACCAAAGTTCTCGGCATTTTTGTTGTTTTGCTATATTTTCCAATTTAAAGGGGTGATATTGAAGCATAAACTGGTCTAATTGTTTTAAAAACATGCCTAAGCCACGACAAAATATTCAAGGTAAATGTTTTTCGTCTTTGTTTTGTATTTTTTTACATTTGTAGCTACGAAATTGGCGTCACAAATTCTAACGAAATTTGTGGTGTATTTTTCACTGTTTAGTGCTTGAAATATTTGCTAAAATTGACTAAGAATACTTAGAGTTTTCATCGTAGAATGGCGTGGGTATATTTATTTGCTCTTTGACTAAATTGTTTAGCTGTATTATTGCTAAACATGCCGTTTTTGAGAATTTGGTTTTCAACTAGGTTGGGACATCCATCCACGCTCATCAGCCCATTGAAAACATTAGGTCACGCGTCAGCTAGTTTCCTATCCATTTATTTTATTACCCATGGTTTCAGCAAAGCGGTAAGGGGCTAGATAACAGTGTCTTGATGAGGTAACATGGGAACGGAGATTTTCCTATTTTGTGACTGGAAACATGGGATTTGGGTTGTTGGGACTGGGTATGAAAGCCCCAAAAATGGCAAAACCAACATAGCATTATAAAGACAGTTGTTGGACATTTTAAAGTGAAATAACTTTAAGAACACTCTGTAGAGCTACAACAGCTTTTAATAGAGAATTTGTGTAAACCGTCCAGGAAAACCTAATATATTTAACCTTAGGCTTGTTTGATACGTCGAATGTTGGTCGGGTCGAATGCAATTAAAACAAGAGATAATGAAGCTTATAATTAATGAGGTTTATCATCTCATTATCTACTGCCATAATTGCATTCGAGGCGACAAAATTCGACGTATAATCCTGCCTCTGCAAGTCAGTCATATACCTTTTTTCTGGCAAAACTATAATTCTAAGGAGGGCAATTGAACGCAGGAATCGCAAGTTCAATTCCTGCCAAAGGAGCTAGTGTTGCATTTTTCTTAAATTGTGTACATATATGATCACTTGGATTATCCACCAAACGCAGAATTGTGTAAAAAGTTCATCACATAGATGAACCACGTGCTCGGCGTTCTTCTTTCAATTTCCTAGTGTGACTGGGATTTGAACTGAAAAAGGGCTGGGAAATGAGATTAAGAGAACGTTTGGGCTGCGAAATGGGATCTAGACACCCCCCCCAGCCCCCAAGTAAAGATCCTCAGATAATCGATGCTAACCTGAATTGTTTCTGCTGACAACTCCCATACGCGCTTGTATCTCATTCTTGTCTCCAACATTGAAGCCTACTTCGTAGCAACCTGACTGAAAATGATTTATCGCGACACCATCAGCCGTTATACCATTAATCCAATCCCGAGGATTCAACTCAAGAGCTTTCTTCCCGAAGAATAAACTATGAAGGTTCGGAGCTTGGACCGGAAAGGAAATTCCAAAATTATCAGACGTCAAACAAACTGCTGTGACATTGGCATCAAAATTACTGGAATCCAACTGGTAAGTCGTATTCCGTGTCGTCCACAGCTCAGCGTTATAACTTGTGCTATTCTAAAAGTAAAATATCAAAGTGAAATGCAGGACGATGTTTCCGATATTCTGATTTTATCATCATAGTATCATGTGTAGTGTCTTCTACACAATTCGAAGACAGGAAATTTAATGAAAAACTCATCAATATGAAATATTGAAAGGCAAAATTTTGTTATGTATATAACATGCCTAACAGAAAATGACGTTTTGAGTTTGTCATAAATAGTCTGTGACACTTATAATTAAATAACAAAAGTGGAACGGCGCAACGTAGTACTAAAAATAATAAAAAATAGTACAGACTGAGTAATAGGCCTGATGTGATGTGCGCGGGATATTTAGATAGGATGCATGCAGAGGCGTAGCCAGGGCTGGGGCCAGGGGACCCGCCCCCCCCCTCCCCTGGCAAAATTTTGCCCCCCCCCTGGCAAAATTTTTGGGACCCTGATAAAATGTATTGTACTAGTAAGGGTACCTGCAAGGTAGGGATTGCCGCGGGAATCAAGAGCAAATAGAACTAAAAATAGTACAAATTACATAAAGCATGCAGTTATTACTCGCAGCGAGCCGGCGACTTGTGAGCACTGTGGTCGGAACTTATGGAATACGGAATCGATTTGTGCATTTGTTGCCAAGACCATGCACGGGTTCAAGAGCACTCACAGATTACAGATAGGCGTGTTAATATTCACTAAATCATATTCACTAAATCATAAGCAAGAATATATAATATTTTCAAGATGAAGTGGAATTTGTTGAATTTAATACGCGCTGCTCTAGTACGCGTATAAATACAAACGACAAAGCATTCTTAAAACGTACAGATGAATTATATAACACATGTTTTTGCTATCTGATTTCATATTATTAAGTCTAATACTGCTAGGCGCATTTACCACATTGTATACACAGTATTAAACAAAGAAACCAAAACTTTATAATAAATTAAAATATAGAACTTACAGTGGTCAAAGTCCATTGAGTGAACAACGCACGAAGTGCAGTCACATTATTTTATACACTTAGGGGCTGATTACATGGTGCCGAGCTGGCCCGGTTAACCGGGCTGACTCGTTTGTTTAGGACCTTGCTGTGGTTTTAAAACTCGCGTAAAATAAATTTGCGATAAATAATTGGTTTAGTATAGATGCAAAATCATCCTAAACCCGATTTAAAACTCATTTTGCGGCCCAAGGAAGATTTTCGTGACATTTTTCAGCCCGGTTAACCGGGCTGGCTCGGTCCATGTAATCAGCCCCTAAATCATGGCCTTCACAGGGCTTAAAACTTTACTAAACCTTACGCTGAGTGCCCAGGCGGTGTGCGCACTGCGACCGCAATGCATTATTTTGGATATTTTCTTAAAGATGGCGGATTTCTAGCACGATTAAAGGTATGTTGGCGCTCTATTTTCTGCCACGTTTTAAAGTTTAAACTTTTTGTTTTTTATTAAAAAGGAAGTTACATGTAATATTGTTATGCCGTGTTACTTTTCAAATCGATAATTTTTGGAATTCGATAAAAAATATCATTTGATTGTAAACTCGTGTATTTTTCCCAAATACACTGGTCCATTTACTTTTACATGTCACAGCTTAACCGTTCACACATCACATTTAAAATTGCAATTGGCATAATCTATGACCATTATTTGTGACCATATTTAATAGCGCCCCTTAGCGCCCCTCAATATTGTATATATTTTTGGTCTTTTATCTCATGATATTTCCTTTGCTAATTTCAGGTCTTCTTGTCCAGAGTTCATGTTCTCCCGCTATTTTGGGGAAGCGTTCGTGCATCCCAGAGTCCCATACGCCAGGCAAACAAAAAACAAAGCGGCAACGAAATAATAAACGCAAAAGAGAAGCAAAAAAAAATTTCAAATGGAAAAAATAATTGTGTCAAAATGAGCAAGACACAATACACAATACACAATGGCAGACTGTTGGACAACCGAAGAACAGACTTAATGGGACTGTTTCATATTTGACAGGATCAATGACTGTCTGGTGGTGAAAAACCATTTGTGCTTGTTGGAACCGTTTCTTGTAGTCAGTTGGAGCAAATGGCAATGACTGGAACACGTTTAAATAATTTTTGTTCTCACAAGCAATTTTCTTAGCCTTATTTATGCCAATACCTCGGATATTTTCTATGTAGTCACAACCAGCTGCAATACACATATCAGTAAACTTTTCCTTGGTTAATTTTAGATGTGTTAAAATTTTTGCCATTTCCACCAAGTTACCCATACCATTTGTTTGTAGCTTAAATAGCACCTGAAATATATGACATGTATACTGTAGTCCACATTGCTGCAAAATGCCTTACCTACGGATGTAATAATACAGATAGTGTCTCGCACAAATAGTGTACAGCATTATACCTGGGCATTCACCAAGTCAATGTTGAAAATAATAGTTCTGTGTAAATTTTACCCCACCCAGGCCAGCCGATATTTAGAAGCAGGACACCCATGTCAGCAGTTTCACACAGTGTATTAATTATGTTATGGTATGAACTACTTTGCATATGTATTTGAACTGCCAGGCTGACCTGGTTCCCAATCTGATAAAACTTTCTCCCTATAAACACAAACTGGGCTGGTGTGGATGGAAGTTCTATGAATGCTGCTGTGAGTTATGTAGAAAAACTGTTAAAACACTGTAAACCCACTACACTTGTGCTGTTTATAAAGCATATACAATCACAACAAATTTGTTATTCATATATTTTATAACACTTCATTGAACAATGTTTTACTAAGTCTATACCTGCATACATGACCACCATCATCGAAATGCAAACAAAAACATCCCATTTTATACAACAATTATTATACAACAACATGCTAGAATCCATGTATTAGCATTAACATCACACTGATATAGAGCATTTGCACATGACGTCACAGCCGCCATGTTATTGTTGGTGTTCCAATTCAAAATAATTTTAATTAGACTCTTGTCTGGAACACGAACATGGCCGCCATGGCTTTTGTTGAGTTGGTCCCTGGGGAATGAGTGCAAATGCTCTATACAAGCAGGTCCTAATCTTAACACACTGCAAAACCACAGCCTCAAATCAAAGTGCTTGGGGACAAGGCTGGCAAAACCAGCATATCCATTATTCACAATAAATGCAATTTCTGGATCTGCTTCATATGGTGCCATTATGTACTGAATATCTTTTTCACAGCAAAGCTGAAAGGTGGATAATAACAAATTGTTATTTACTGCACACAACTACTTTCCAATTTACTCTATAATTTTTTATGCATTTGTACATAAAACGGGTGTCGTTGAAAAATGGGAATTTGAATTTTGCAAAATAAATTGATCAAATGTCTGATTAGCAATGTATTGGCATGGATTATAAATTGTTGTGACATTCCTGTGCACAAATAAAATGTAAATTCTGGGGAGGGGTATGGGCAAGGTGTGAGGATTTGGATTTTTTTTTAATTTTGGGTAAATTCTAGTGAGTGGAAGGCATACAAAGTTCTTGAAAACTAGATGTGAAAACTAGTATGTGGTTCAATTTAAACCACCTCATTTTTCTTACTCTCCATATATTGTTATGCAAAGCGTTTTCCTGCCAGCTGCAAATTGCCATTGCAATGACCTTTTATTACTTAGATGCTATTTATATGACCTTGGATACTAGAGACACCCAATCCACACGAGACAACTTCACTGCATGTTTATATGAAAAAATTTTATAGCCCTGGCACTGTATCTCTTCCTACGAGAATGGCTCTAAGTATGAGATTGTGACTCCTGAAACATGCAGTTATTTGTTTGAAGGCCTGGGAATGAAAAGTTATCCCTGGAGGCCGAGACAAACTATTTACATGGACAAAAGTTGTCCCTCCTACAAGGGTAACCCTGTTTTGTAAACAGGGTGTCCCTACTGCCAGGGTGACCCTACCAGCCGAGACGAAAACTTTCCATATAAACACTTGCGTTTAAATGTTATATAATGAATATAATTTTGCCTCTCCCAACCCGAGATCATATAAACAGCACCTCATCTCTTTTCAATGTTGCATTATATTTACAATATTTGTGATACCAAAAATTGAATTGGCATGGCATATATGATTTTCATCCCATAGTTTTTAGGTAAGATTGTGTAGTCAAACTATAGAAATTGTGACCTATGATGGCATTAGAAGTGCTAAAATGATGGGCAAATTCTAAGCATAACTAAAATTACATGGAATTTTACAGATACTGTACTGAGCATATAACTGGCTTGTATATTGCATTAAATTAAACAATATAATGTTGCAGAAAAATTTCCGTGTCTATGCATACTTTTACCGTATGTCCACAACCCTGAAAAGTTTGCATAATAATTATAATAACAATACAGTCATAAGAACAATAAAATAAATAGAATATACATAAGTTTAGCGATTGAAACACTGCACAAATTGATAAGTAAACATATAAATAAAAACATACTTGCGATCATCGCCAAATCTTTGAAACTCACAGCCAACGCTTTGTGCAGCCAGCAGGATGCATCGACTGCACAAACTTTTCCAGAAGTTCTTTGACATGTACTGCCACTGTCGATTCTTTCAAGAAGGGCAAAAGACACTTTTAATATACCCATCGCTCGGCCGTGCACAGTGTTTTCACCTCGAACGTCAGAACGCAAATGAGTGAATTTTTTATTTTACTCATGATGCATTGCGGTCGCAGTGCGC